GGCAGCGTTCAGGGTGATGCCTTGAGTGGCGGCCAAAAATACGACGACGATCGGGAAGTAGATCGCAGTACCATCCATGTTGATCAAACAACCGAGAGGTACGGCAAATTTGGTTACTAACTGTGTGTCAGTGATCGCGATCGACTACTTATAACCATGGAGACTGACCTGTGATGGGAATACCCTGCTTCAAAACACAGCGAATGGTAACAGGCAAGGTCGCAGCGCTAGAGGCGGTTCCCCAAGCGGTAATCCATGCTGGACTCATCTTCATCCAGAACGTGTACGGGTTGGATCTGGTGATCGCGAAGAAAATGATGGGAATTACAATGAAAAGGTGGATGAACATGCCGACCAAGGTACCGCCAATCAAAATACCCAGGTTCGTCCCAATCTCAGCAATATCGAGACGGAACAGATTCGGCATGATCAAGAAGAACACTCCAATAGGCGCAAGGTGGATCAAAACTGTGATGACCTTGAGGACGATAACTTCGACTTCTTCTACGGCTCGATGAATCGCACCTCCTGGCTTGATGACATATCCAAGGACGACGGCCGTGACAAGTACCGAAAGGAGGGCATCGGTCGCCAGGGCGTTGACGATGTTGTTGGGAACCAACGAGAAGAACATGTCTTCGACGACATCGTGGATGGCAGTTTCTTTCCTTTCGTCCACAAGCTCCTTGTTCTCGTCGTCCAGATCCAGAGCACTTCCTGAGACTGGGTTCATGAGTTTACTCCAGACCAGGCCGACTAGCAGGGCAGAGTGTGCGACAGCGATGATGGTGGTGATGACGTAGTAGCCAATTGTCCAGCGAGCGAGTTTACCCGCTGCACCTCCTCCCTGTGTCATATTGCGCAGACGTTGGATTGCCAGGATCATGGCGGTGACGATCATTGGAAGGACTGCGATAATCAGCTCACGCATCTAGAGGGGTTTCATCGCAACATACCGACTGCCCTCAATGCGCGCAACCAAAGGTTACCTGGGATGGCAAGTATCGTGATGGCCGCATCTGGTACTTCGTCTACCGTAGTGGTAACTGCCAAACCAATAGCAATGGCCAGAAGAGCGGCGATGATGATCTGCCATACGGATCCTGGCGTCATGACTCTCTGCACAAACGTCTTCTTCTCTTCCTCAGCGACGGTCGGCCGTGGCATGATGTCTTCTGACGGTGTGCTGTTCGGGCTCGAGGTGGTGCGAACAGCAGCCTCGCCGTGCTTTACTTCTCCGGCTTCGCCCATGATTGGCAGATTTTGGGCAGGCGGAAAGAATGAAAGACTTCTTCGGATTCCGAGAGAGTGGTGGAACAGCAGTCGAGCAGGCAGCTTAGTCGGTCACGCACAGCCAGGACATCTTATACACGAACCCCGCCCCTTGGTATCTGCAAATCACTTGTGTGGCAACCAAGAGATAACGATTCTGTTACCAATACTTCGGGATGCTACCGTACTTTCAGACAACGCCCGACCCCAGTCTCCACGGCCTATCACAAGAACAAGCCACTTGGATCCGCGGGCATCGATTCGCCATGTCTGAGTCTAGGTCGCGACAGGAAGCCCGACAGTAGTGCAGACTATCTCCCCAGGCATTGGAACTCGACCCTTGGAACTGTTGGCGGCGCTGGTGACTATCGAACGAAATGGAAGGTTACAAGCAAAGTTGCGTTCCGAGTTCCGTCTCGTCCTGTCTTGGCCGAACAAGGGTCGGTTGACCGGCAGCGTTTTGCCAAGCCATGGTTACACCACTCCACTCGAGACATGACACGCTATTGGACCAGACACGGATAACAGAACACTGTGGGGAATCATCATCCACGTTTGTGTGGAGGAGTGCGAAGCCTTGGTGCCTTCGTCGCGTGTGCATGGAAGCTTGGCCAGCGGCGCAGCGCGTCTGGGCGCTTGCTGCCATCGCGTATGCTAAGATGAGGAACATGATAAGGCCATAGGGTAAGTGTCGGCTCAAGAATACTCGGATGTGGGAAGGATGAAGACTTCCAAGCTCGTTATCGTGTCAGCATGCGCACCACTGCAACACGAGGCAGGTAAGATCACTCGGAGATGACACGGCATCACTTCGTCTCTATGAAGTCAATGCTGATCACAGGCACCTTCTTACCAATGGTTGGCTTACTTGTTGTCGAAAAAATTATAATCATAAGGGTTCCGTCTGCCTGGATGGTGGACCATGAAAGTCCCGGCTGCATGCATTTGCGGATCGACCAGGCAATTCTAGGTACGCGAGGCCTCACTGCAACGATACCCACGGCTTATCGACCCATAACAACGGGTGAGGATCATCTAGAACCATTTCTAGCGCCTAGATAAGCTGCTTCGATATGCAATCGGCTTGCAGGCTCCGCTATATGTGCTAAGCCAAGATGTTACATCTTCGAGGTAGGCACACTTATCAATTTACAAGCCTCGTCACAGCGACATAAATGGTTCGCCACTTATCTTCCGCGAGAAATCTTTGGCCTTTGTCGCCTCGTACATTACAGACATCGCCTATCTTACATCACAGGTAGGACGATCACATTTGAGAGTGTTAGTGTCAGCTTACGTGCGAATTATCAGGGTGACCTTCACATCGTCAGGCCCCACACTGTAGGCGACGTTTACTGCGCAACATCACCATTAGAAACGGTTATCATGTCCATTCCAGGTACAGTAATCCACTCTCTTCCTGACCGACGGCTAGTTCAGGGCCTCGCCCAACCGCCGGCAGGTGTATTCCTGCAGCTAATAAAGCCCTCGGCCTCATCCTCCGCCTCGACCGATATACCACCAACTGCATTTCACTTCTTCTTCTTCTTCTTTGGTGAGGACTTCTTCGGTGAAGCTTTCTTTGGAGAAACGTTCCCTACGATAGTCGCTCTAAGCGTCGCGTCCTCCGTAGCGATAGTCAAGTTATAGTCATCCGTGGACGTCGCCCTCCATTTCATGAATGAGAGAATCGGCGCCAGGGATGCAGTATCGAGATCCACGGGGATCAAAACTTCACTCGCCTCGGTTCGATCCCCCGTAGGCCATCGATGCAGGTCGTCATCAACGCGATACCTGTAAGACTGAGCCAACAGTGGTCCTCTCCAATACTCACCAGCCACCTGACCAAGCAATGCCATTACACATTGGTTGTAGGGTTGCTTGTTACCAAGAGCGTTACTGTCATGTCGAACAGTGATCCGATCACGCAGTTGCCTGTTACCTTCGCGGAAGCAGTCAAAAGTTGCGTCCCCACCGGAAGGTACACCAGTTACAAACAATCTCAGGTCTTCGCGGTCAATGTGCCGCTGGCAAGGTAACCCGTAATACTTCAGCCAAACAAAACGTGGCTGTGAGTAGTCAACTGGGAAGAAGATACAACGAGAATACAACCAGGACGGGCGAGCGCTCTGTCCGAAGTATTGCAAGGTACTGCATAGCGGTGTATGCTTCTCCGCATCTGCGACACGGCAGGCAGAGGAACAGTAGGGCATGTTGAAGCAGTGCATGCAGAATTCAGTGCTAGGTTTGTGACATATGCCGCAGCAATCTCCAGATATTTCAACCGCGTTCATTCCGATCGATTACACAATCTCTCAGTGGGCGCTGTATTGATATAGGCATCTTCCGTTCGACACAATCGTGTCCGAGCGCGATCAGCATGCGACGTGGTCATGCGCATTCACTGTGCTTGTGTAGCAGACATCAGCAGCACCAGATGTTGACACGTGCACGAATGACTAAAATGTGGTCTACGACTCTGCAAAAAATAAACCAACCGTACATCGCACGATGATATTAGGCTACAGTAATCAGTGCATACTTGCTCGTGGTACAACATACGGAGCGGAGTCTTTGACGATCGCGGAAGTCGGACACAAACTTACATCCGATCCGGGCACCTCGTGTTACGAAAGATCAGGCACACCACTACACTAGAGATGAGCCGGTGGATTATAAAAAGGGAAAGCAAGGCCATATAAAATCATGTAGCCAGAAACTCACTCATTACCAAACGCAACAATGTCTCAATTCAAAGTCGCAATTTACATTTACCCAGATGGCGACCTCCTGGATTTCTCAGGTCCAGCCGAGATATACTGCCACTACCACGACATGGAAATGGACATGAGTAAACCAGCTCCTTTCTCAGTAACCACCTTCGCCCATCAGAGCCCCGTCACGTCCATCTCCAAAGCCATGGTCTACTTGCCGAACGCCACTTTCGCCGAAATGTCCAGCCGCATTGAAGAATACGACATCCTGGTCATTCCCGGCGCGCACGACGAAACCATCAAGCAACTCATCAGCAGCAAAGAGGGCAAAGAGTTGGCTGAGCTCATTCGACGATTTTCAAACACGAAGCCAAGGAAAGAGACGGGCAAGAGATTCCTGCAATCAGTTTGCACTGGAGGCCTTATACTGGCGGCTTCTGGGGTACTTGCAGGCCGCACCGTCACAACACATCATCTGTCGCTCGACCTGCAGAAGACGCTCGCTGATGAAGCTGCGGGCGGTGATTCGAAAATCAACGTTGTGAGGCAACGATGGTCGGATGCGGGTACCACCGAGGCGGGTGTGCGCATTGTGACCGCTGGCGGAGTCAGCTCGGGTATCGATACTTCGCTATGGGTTGTGGGGCAGTGTTACGGATCGAAGGCGGCGGAGATGGTTTCGGAGGTTTCGGAGTTTGACATGAGGCCAGCAGCGTGGGGACTGACTCCACCGTAGACTATAGCCAGGTAGATAATGTTGCAAAGATAATTTGACTGTACTTGAAAAAGGAATACAAAGCGCACGTAGAACACGCAACACAAGGTGGAAAGACAAAGTTGGAGCAATGCAGCAAGACCTGAATTCAAAAATTTCTGATCCATGCTTTCTGATTGGAGCTCTCGACGTTCCTTCGGGATCACTTGAAGATAGTCATGAATGCTGGAGTGAGAGTGAAGAGAGCCAGCTGCCTCCATGTCCAAATTCGATGGCTTACAAATTGAGGGAAAGATGAATCATGCGCCCTCATCCTCAACACGGTCTTCCAGGCTGTGAGGTACAGCATCGTCTTCGGGACTATCTTCCAGGCACTGGGGTATGATACCGTCTATCAACTCAGTAGCAGTTGCTTTGGCAAGGCGGTCAACACGCTTCGCGGAGTTGATATCTTGAATCAGCTTGAGTTCGCGTGCCTGCTTCTCAGCGCGCGCAACATCCTCGAGAAGCCTAGCTTCCGTGGCTTTGCGCCTCCTGGTACGGCGATCCATCTCCGCTTGAGGATAGTACTCAATGCCCTGTTCCTTCCATTCTATGTTGCGCTTCTCGACTGCCGCGCACTGTATCCTGAAATTTACAAGGTGCTGTTTGGGGGTGGCGCTATTTTCTACCGCATTGTGACGGTAGCGCCACGTGTCGGTCGGCATAGGTATGGAATCGGGATCTTCCAAGGCCTCTTGCTCCCAAAAGTACTGTTCCTCGTCGTGATCTTCCTGGTATTGTTCATAACAATAGTCCTGCTCAGCTCGTTTAGCTTCGAGAGAACGGCGGACGTGGACCTGAAGACGCTCTGGAAGAGCATTGATATCCTGCTGTATGCGGTCCTCTTCGTCATATCTTTCAATATGCTTACGACGCCAGTATTCGAAGTTTTCGTAGGCCTTGAGATAACTGACATTGAGCTTACGTTGCTCCACCTCATCGAGCTTCACGGCAGCGAAGCGATGGGCGTTTTCACAAGCCTCGGCCCATTTCAAGATAACCATGGGCTCATCGCCCTGTATTCCTTCCCACCATGCGCTGTTCGCATCGAATATCCCGGCAGGAAGCTTGCCTCGCCAGTCCGCATCATCATCATCCTCGTAGTCTTCTTCCTCTTCCTCTTCCGGGCCGAGATGAGACATACAATATTCATAAGCTTGTCGTATTTCCACAAAACGGGAAGTAGCTACTGCTTTGTTGACTGCATTTGTCTTGTCGGGATGATAAGCCAGTGCTAAAATCTTGAACCTCGACCGAACCGAAGTTTCCGATGCCGTTGTGGCAAGGCCCAAAACCTTGAAGAAGGATGCGCCTGACATATTCGAATTTCTGTGTAATGACTTGTACTTTGGTAGTCGGGTAGATGAATTCCGAGAGCGCAGGTTGGCTGGGCGAAGAGGTAGGGGGTGGTCGTGTATGGATGTGAGTGTTGAAAGGTGCAACACCAGGGAGCTTATATACACACGATGCGTTCGTGATGTTGATTCACTACTACAATCTGATAGGGTGGAAGTCACTGTGTGCTTCTAGAGACTGACCCAGCCGACAGTATGGCAATAAGAAGCTGCAGTGAAAAGCAGTAGACATACGTTGAGCTGCAAGTGGAATACGGGTAGTGACATGAGTACTTTCACGTCGTGTTTTGAGTCTGTAAACCTGTCGATGTCAGTGTTGTTCATCCAAGAAGAGTTCATTAGACTAACTCATCAGTGGTTTCGTTCCTTCATTGCGGAGACCATAGAGAGACTACCATGTATGACACATCACAGGTGTTGAGAAATCCCCCTCCATCCTGTGTAGAACCAGAAGTCATTACTTGCATACTCCACGAGTTGACAATAGCGCTTGAAGATGGCCCTAGTTCCAGGATGTGTCCTTGATTTGAGCGCTTCGATGAACTCCGGCGCGATAGCGATCGGCCATATCATCGTCGCCCGCAAGGCTGGATGAGTAGAAGTTTCCAACGAATATTGAAGACCGTTTCGAAGTACTTCAGCCGCCCCAGCAGCATTGATGTCGTCCGGCGATGGGTCGGCAGAAGTCGGGCAGCTCAGCGCCTGGATGTCCACGAGCAAGGCAGATAATAAGGACGGTGGCTTAGGCATCTCTTCAGCAGGCCGGACAATGGCTGCGAAGGGACCTTTTCTCAGCATGTCGGTCACACTGCTGAGTACATAATCCATGCCTCGTGCTAACTGCAAAATCTCCACCAAAACATCCAAGTTGTACGCACGCGCGTCAGCAAATGCGTTGATAACAGTCATTGATGCTGCAGCGAAAATAGCATGGCAATTCAGAGGCCCGATGTTTGCGACGGCATGATTTAGACCTGTCAGTGCTGCGCTTTGATGTGTCGAGGCGGCCATACGAAAGTGGGTGGCCCTGGAGGTGTTGATGTAAGCGAGATGGTTCGCGGAAAAGGCTAGTATGCTGTGTAAAAGAAAAGGATACTTGAAGGCTTCTTGTGGAACGGCGAGCCCCCATATTTGCTTCACGTGCTCGGCGCCTGGCATAGTTTGATATGCATGTGCGGTATAATGGTGCGTCAGTTCCAAGTCCTGCATCCAGCCTTCTTCTGAGACACCTGCTAATAATGGAGATGCGCTCCCCTCTTGGATTAGGCCCGTGTCCAGTGGCGTTGTTCCATTTCCATTCGTGGGTGTTGACGCGTTTATTGGGGCAGGATCGTTACGTGGAGACGTTGTGTCTACACGGCTTGGACTTTGGCTTGCAACCCCCAGAAGACTGCACTCGACGTGATACTTCGTGCACGCGCCGCATGGTCTACTCTCATCGCACTGAATGTAGGTAAGTATACGCGAACGCGACAGATTTGGAAGGGAAGGCTACCTTGACGCGTCTGGCTTTGCATTGTGCGCATCCCGAACGCGTCTTCTTGGAGCCAAACCTAGGCATTCGCGCGATCTCAGATGCACGTACCGTCTGTACGTGAGTGGATGGATGAATGCGGGCTGGGGTGGCGCAATTGGATCGCGCTCTCGAGAACGAAAGCGAGTGCGGGCGGAGATCGGAAGTTTGAACGGGATTATGTAATTGCCTCGGTCACGAGATGCTTGGCGCTTCTCCCACCGTCATCTCGCCTACTTTCTTCAACATGCGTCTCAAACAAGAACGTACGATGTCTTGCTAGACTCTGGTCAGACAACACTTTGGGTAAATTGGACGGGAACTTTTCAAATGAACGAGATGTTTAGGGGCGAGAATTCCAAAAGGACTTGTGGTCATCGTGACCTCGGGACCGTTCATCTTCGATGAGTACTACATGCAGTACCTAGGTAGCTTTTACAGCAAGACGATAGAGTCTGAATAGTAAAGAATGGGAGAACTAGAATGCCGCGACGGGAACATGTATGCGCAATGCGACAGAATTATCTCGGTGTACGCAATTGCGATCGTCGTAGATGCAAAATGGCGAATTGCCGTGTCTTGCGAGCGGAAATGACCATTGCGCACTAGTGCTGACATGCCATCATTCTTACGTGCGCTCTTACGTCGTTGTCTACATGTGAAAGCAATTTGTAACATCGCGCGAGATAGCAATTGTTGTACAATCAAGCATCGGTTCGTTCAGTTCAGCATCACCTCGCTGATCTGAGTGTACTACAACTTGCAACACCGATGCTGGAAGCGTATGCCGAATGACTATCGTCTGCACATGCGTTGCGCATTATGTACATGATTAATAAAGTTGAGTTTAACTAAGAATAAGGCGACGGGAGCGTCGGGATATATCAATCGGCGCTACTTCGCATCCGCGGCGCGGCCTCTTCTCCGTCACGTTCCTATCCAGGTATCGAAGTAATCATACTACGTTCAATGGTCCGCAACGTTTTATGGTCGAAAAGCTGTTCCGAATTTGGTGTGTCGGACGTGTTCAAATGAGGGCAGTACGATGGAGTTGCGACAAAAAGCCTCTGTTTCATACTAACAACCCAAGTGTGTGAAGGAGTTGAGCGCATCGTACTTGCTCCTAGCTACAGTCATTTGCATACCTTGTTGAGATCAGATGAGAACGCTGTCAACGACGCTAGTAGCTTCCATCAGACCTGTCGTCAGCCACAATCGCGAAGCCGTTACACGTAACCGTATGGGGCCGAGAAACCAATGATTGGTGTGTCCGTGATCGCGATCAGTAAACGGTCATACCACGGACCTCCTTGGGAATCTGCCATACGATCCCAAAGCGAGTGAGCGATGCGTTTCATTCCTATAATGATATGTCAATGCGGTCGTAGAGTCGACAAGTTCGATGCTACCTGCAGATCTTGGGAAGCCGCTCGCCAAATCTATCAGAAGGGAACTGAAACGCAACGGTTTACCGTACGGGCCGGCGGTGTTCATCAGATCTCTTGTGCTGGGAGCTTGCCTAGCTCGTAGCACATGGAATGACCGTGTATCTTTCCGCTAAATGACAGGGTTGGAACCAGCGACGCGCATTGCTGGCGAGCTCGGCGTAATGGCACGACTTGATGATAGTCAACTCGCTCCCCGTAGGGCCAATGCTATCCTGCGTCATCCCATTCCTTTGAACACTCGTTATCTCGTAGGTTCCGTGGACAGGTAATCTTTCTTGCTTCCCCGGTTGTCACTCCCTTGATCATGCTCGCTGCGCAACGTACCTATATTGTCGCCATTGCTACTTTCATAATAGTGGCAACACTTTCTTTCTATGCATTCCGCGACCAAAGTGTATTCGTCGTGGCGAGGATCACAAGTCCGTATGTCAATACAGGTCCTGGTGTAGAGCCTCTTTCACTAACACTCAGTGTAGGTCGTCGAACCCAACCCTCCGAGACACGGTTGCCAGTTTGTTTGCGTCCATAAAACACGATCCGAGCGCGACCAGATATGTTGATCCGTCCGGTACATACTATGAAGGTGGAAGTGAGACGATTTGGACGAAGCCTCTGGGCAAAAAGGTCTTGATAGTGGACATCGACACGCGTGTGCCGACTGGCGAGAACGAGCTTCTCAACCCAGAACGCTTAGATTGGGAAAATCTCAAGACCGAAGACGCCGGCCTGGTCTCCAACTCCATCATGAACCATTATTTGTACGCCATGGTCCATGGCTACGACTACAAGTTCTATCAAGCGCGCGACATGAAGGACCACTACAACACGTGGATATTACCCCACGTTCTGCGCGAACTGATACCTAAATATCAGTTCGTGATTGTAATGGATGCCGACGTTACGATAGCGCATCCGGATGTCCCCTTCGAGTGGATGTTCAACCGCTGGGGCATCAAACAGCACACATCCATAGCTCTTCCATGGGACACCGAGGAAATCCGCGATGAAGGCTCGATTAGCCTAGACAGCAAGGGGATGCGCGTCCTCAATACCGGCCTTGTGGTTGCGCAAAACTCATCCACGACTTTGGAACTACTGGATGCGTGGCACGATTGTACATCCGAAACACGCTACAAAGGCTGCGCGAGATGGAGATACGAATGGAGCCACGAACAGCGCGCCTTTTCAGAATACATCCGCTACGACTTCAACAAGACGCCAGAAACGATCGTTACGATACCCTGCGACGATGCGGTAGGGTGGCCCGGTTTCCGCCAGGATATGTTGTCTCGTCCTGGTACCGCCAACAAGGATATATCGGATTGCAACGGGAACTTCGTTAGGCACTACACAACCATGGGAAAGACTCGTGTCAAAGATGCGAGCGCGTCTAGTGTGATGCAGATGTTCAGCGACGCGCTGCAAAAGAGTATCTTGGCAGACCCAAGTGAAGTCTGGTACAAGGAACCGGAAAAGAAGACCAAAATGCCAAAAGAGCAGCCGGATGAGGTACGGGAAGATGATCAGAGTAAACCAGACGCTGATGTGGTTCTGATCGAAAGATAACAGCTAGGTTTTATTTTTGATGAATTTTCTTTCGGCATCCGTTTTGCATTGTGCCAGCGCTTTAGATACCACTATATTACATTATTGTACGTTGAACTAATTGGTCTCCGTTAGTACTGGTAACATCGGAAATGGGTTTACTGGTGCAATATTGTGCAAATCAGAGCTATCTTCTACTCGCGCATCGAAACCAAAGTCTGCCCCAACCCAGTGCACCCGGGCTAGCTTTCGCAAACCACGAGGCGCACGAAGGAAGGGCCGGAACTAAAGAATCTCGGTTCAAGTGTAATGTGGGATCATCATGGAAGGAAGGACAAGGTGGAAGGTAACGAGAGCGCGACTTACTATCCCTTTATGCATGCGCTCTGATTTCACGCGTCACTTGCATGGTTAGTGGCGGCGCGTGGGTGAGTGAGGTGGTTGGTGAGCTTGACGCG